ATTACATATACACGGTTCACGGTTTTGTGTGCGTATCCTCTCTATACGCGCTGGCACAAAACGCACAACTTGCATCACTGTAAGACATTCACAATACAATAGCGCTATATACGCCGCATACCGACGCGCGTTTTTGTTTATTTATTTGGCGGTATGACCATGAGGTGTAATGGGGTATACATATACATATATTCGTTATCTCTCTCTCTCTCCCCTTCTCCCTCTCTCTCTCCCTCCCTTTCTCTCTCTCTTTCTCCTCTCCCTCTCTCCTTCTCCTTCCATCTCTCTTCCTAAATCCCTCCCACCTTCTATCTCTCTCCCCCCTGCCTCCCTGCCTCCCTCCTCTCTCTCTCTCTCGCTCTCTCTCTATCTCTCTCTTTCTTTCACTCTATTATAAATTTATAAAATTATAAATTTATAAAAGAGTATACTCACTAATCGTACATTAGCGGTGTGAGTGCCCCTTGAGGGACAAAATTGTTTTGCGTATGCATACGTGCGTGAAAGTCTGAAACTGAAGAATAAATAAGACCAAGAGTGTCACAATTCTGGTATACGATTTTCATACCTCAGGATTGACCGCACCAATCTTATTCAAACTGGTCACAATCGAAAACGGTAAATAAACATATGTCAAGGTCAAGGTCATTGGGGCTGAGTCCCCTATTCGCTGTATTTACCTCAAAAACTTGTATTCACATTATATAATAAAAGTGCTGTTAAAATTTTTAAATAGACTTTAGTTCCTGAAATATCTTAATCGAAAATTTTATTTGATGTGATTTGAGGTAACATTCCAGATAAGCTACATTTTAGCCTCGCGGCCTCTATACATAGGCAAAACTGTTGACAAGCCAGTAAATATTTTTTTTATGTATTTGGCGTAGCGACGCTACCGCGTTGCTTGATTATTTACATTACGGCCAAACTCACAGATTTCAATGATCTTGATATATATTATCAAGAACTCTGAGTAACTTTCAAAAGGTTTTAGCCATCGCTCGCAAGTTATTAAAAAGTTATAAACAAAACAAATTTAATGAATAGAACGTAATCTTTGTTTAAGAAGGAATATATTTGGTGGAATATGTGTTTTCTTCTCAATACATAGTAATCATAATATTGCGTTCAATATGCTATATTTGTTTACATGTTCTGTAAGTTATTCGCGGTGTAATCTTGTATTTTTGCTTAAAAATTAGATCTGAATTTTAAAAAACTTATCGATGATCGGTGAGTAAGAGGAATCGAATAACTCCGTGTCACTTTGCAAGTTTAAACATCGATAAGTTCGGTAGGATTTAAATTTAGCGCATTTTAATTTCGGTTTTATGCCTATTTGTTGCCTCATTGATCTCTCTTTATTTTCATACGTGTTTGTTTTCCGCGCCCGCTCGGTAGTTAGGGTTTTGCTGCGAAGCGTTACTGTCACGCGAGTTTCGTGCATGACTTTGATTATGCCTAGTATGGACCCCCCCCCCATGGGTGAATCGCGTTTTTGGTAAGCTACGAATTTTATCATTCTTAATTGTTATTATTCCACCACTCTTAAATTTTCAGGCGGTTGCTTGACTCCAATTTTCTTCCCGCAAATTCTGGGAAAAACTTTGTGGTAGATAATAAACTTTGACATATGCTGATGTGCCTTTGGAGTATCTATGAGCAACTTTTGACAAACTCTGCCTTTTTTACCTATAGACCGTTTGTATTTTTATTTAATTAATTTCTCATCTACCACTGAAGAGAGTCCAATCGAGGACAAAAACGTTTGTTATTTATTTTTTTTGCGATTCGCGTCTTTTGTTATCATTATTCATGAGAATGTTTAATTTCAAAAGTTTTTCGGTAAGACATTCGGGTGCGCTTATTATTAAATTATTTTTTGTGATCCGCGTCCTTTTTTTATTTATTCACATTAAAATATATAATTTTACAAATTATCCGTTAAGACATTCGCGAATTGTACAATTTTCATGACCTGAATATATTGCGCGGGCATCCGCTACTACTCCTTAAGCCTATTTATTTATTTCTTTGTTTTGATTTCATGGAAATTACAGAATAGGACACCCACCTCCAGTGGACTTTGGCTTCGACATATGTTGTCAAGGTTTAGGTCATGATCCTGAGTAACATCCAAGAGGTTTTAATCGTAGCTCGTTGTTTATTAAAAAGTTATTAACAATTAAATTGTACGATAAGAATAAGTATTAAATACGATAATTTGAATTTTTCCGATATAAAAATAACCATGAATTTTAAATTAGTTATATATTTAAGTATTTATACAAATGCGTGATCGGGGGGAGGGCTCCCCCCTGCACCCCCACCCCCAAAAAAACTAACCTAACCCAAACCAATTTCTATTTTTTGAATAAAAATTAGATTTGGATTAGGTTAGTTTGTTGGGAGTAGGGGCCCATGGGAGAGGTGGAGCCCCTTTCCCATCTACGTATTTACATAAATACTTAAACATATAACTAATATAAAATTCATAGTTTTTTTTTAATCGGATAAGTTCAGATTTTCGCATTTAATACTTGTTCTTATAGCACGATTTAATTGTTAGTAACTTTTTAACAAATAACGAGCGACGGCTAACACTTCTTGAATGTTATTCAGAGTCATGACCTTGACAACATATGTCAAAGTCATTGACTTTTCAAAGGGTTGACCTTATGTGAATACTTACCTCCAGATATTTAGATGTGCCGATGTTAATGCCTCAAATCTTTAATGTTCAAATACTTTTGAGTTATGAGCCTGAATTAAAAATGTTTGTGGCAAAAATTTATTGTTTTTTTTTTGCGTAGTGTAACAAGCACATTGCTCTTTGTTACGATTAATCCCCGGGCTACCATACGCACGGAAAACGATACTCGGCCACTAACAATAAATCTTGACACTCATACTACAGCCCCTCTATATATAAACCCGAATATATAAACCGGCTCAGCAGGAGATTGGATTGACCACCAGTTCCTGAACTTGAGTTCTAGATTCGAGATCCGAACGGTCCTGCCTGACCACGCATACGAGCGCTCTCGTTGCGACGGTCGTTCTCGACCATTGGTTTCGGCCAACAGTTCTTAGCTTCTGTCAGATCACGTATACGAGCGTTCTCATTGCGAAGGCCGAGCGTATTCAATCGTTGATCTGTTTCCTGTTATCTGACCGAATAATTAGATATGTACATATCGCGTAGTTTTAAGATTCGCTTGTCTTCTGTTTGTGTTGTAACGATGCACCACCCATCGTTATCCGGCAGTTGACCCGCCGGAAGTCTGCCGCCCGGCGAACACCAGCCGGGCAGGAGCGAAGGCGCTTAGCGTCCTTTTCAATACTCATTGTCAGATAGTAATTAAGAGAGCCGTACGGCCCGTACCGAAACCGAGAACCGCCGAGCGCTTCCGGAAAACACCGAACTCTCAACCGCCGAAACGTCGCGTCGTTTTCCCGCCAGAGGGTAACAGCGCGTTAATCGTTAATTACCGCCGCCGAAAACAACGCGTCGTTATCCCCACCCGTTTAGGGAAACGACGCGATTCCCGTTATTCTCTCGGTATAAAAAGACCGCCGAATTACATCTTGGCACCAGACCGGTACCTGAGGCCTCTCGAGTAGTACGCTCGAAATATTCCGCAAACCGATCCTATTACTCACAGAACGACAGAACGAGGGGTTGACGAGTTTGCAGCTTCGGCCGAGCATTCTCGGCTTCCGCACCGACTGCGAATTCTGACCGACCTTCCGACCGATTCAAACGAGAGCGGAGTGTTTGCCACTCTCCTAGATCTAGGGTCTAACATCCGATCGCTCCGGCCAAACGGACCGCGGGTTAGCGAGTTCGCTGCCCCATCGACCTTTCTCGACTCCGCCGGCCATCCTTAGATCTGCGTACGGAATAGAGATGGAGAGTTCTCCTGATTGGGAGTACCCGATTTCCTGCCGCATCCCCGAACAGCTGGGAATACGCTACGCGTCCACAACACTTCGACGCATAATTAAAACACGGCTTTGCCGTCCGCGCAAATCAATCACCGCGCCGAATACCTGTCGCACTGTTTATTATTATCCTGCGCCCGTCAAAGTAAACGGCCTTACCATACGCGCGCCGAATAACCACCGCGCCTGATTATTATATCTTACGCCTTATATAATACTCGCGGAATTATCCGCACATACACATTGTAAAAACACGCGCCGAACAACTATCGCGCTTTAAATATATCTAGCGCTTTAACATTCGCCGCGCGACCGCTCCGCAGGAATTAATCACTTCTGTATTTAACATCTCTGTAAACTGACCATTGCCGAAGGAAGCAAATAAACAGACCAATTAAATTACGCGGCTATCGTCGTGTCTCGATCCTTTCACGAGCCCTGATCTCGATCGAGCATATCTGAACTCGCGAAAGCGGCTTGTTACAGTGTATTCCGCCGTGTAAATATCTCGCGTAGTTTTAAGATTCATTTATACACTTGCCGTCGGATATACCGCATAACAAATAATCCGTTGTTTGAGAATCGATGTGTCATTCGATTACCAATATGTATATTCTGGTTTATAAAAAAGAATAAAGCTTGTATGTTTATGAGATTAACGAATTTGAGTTTCCTTCCTTCGCCCGAACTCTGACACCGGCGAGCCAATCCGGAGCATCGGGAAAGGTGAATCGTTATAGTAGAATAAGAATCTGTTAAAAAAAATATTGGTTCCTATTTAAAAAAACAAGGTTGACCTTGAAATAACTTTGAAAACGTCCACCAAATTAAAAATAAATAATGCTGTTTTCCTTCCCTCTCAAAAACATACAACTTTTGTCTGAAAAATTTTTTTCTAAAATTATTTATTTTCGAGTTATTCTGGTTTGCCAATTTAAATGCCGCATCCTGTATATCTCTCCTTTGATTGAACTTGGGCTTTAACTATCTTTTTCTTATAATAATAATAAAAAAATCTTTAATGAGTGTATTATAAATCTATCATTTCTTATTAGCTTTGCAGGATTAGTAGATGATCCCGACCCATTCCAGCAACCGTCACCTTTAAAATTATGTCATCAATTGGCAGAAGATGTAAAATGGTTTAAGGTACTTCTAATTTGACTTCTAATATTAAAATTATACAAAAAAGTTTTTATTATATTTGAAAATAAAGTTTGAAAACTTTAACAAAGTAAGATTTTTTGAAAAAACTCTTTTAAAAACAAAATATTACCCAATTTTAAAATTTTATTTTCAACCTTGATAATATTGACACTTATACATATTGTTGCGCCCGCGGGCTCTTTCGAATAAAATCTCGAACGCGCGTAACACAACCGGCACTCGCGTACCACGCCGTAAATAAGGAATACACTTTATTAGAAAGGATAAAGGAACTTTAACAATAGAACTCAACCAAACACAGAAACAGAACAAACAATAATTATAGTCGTAATCGGCAAATACGTCCGCACGGAAGAGAATGTCATCCGTCGCGAGACTAAGATGGCGGCTCTTCTCTTCTTTAAGATGTCACCCGTTGTTGTTAAACAAATCCCCGACAACGCGCTTAGAAACGATCTCTCGGAGACGGGCCTACTTTCGATACAGGGATGAAATCCAGGGACGCAACAATATTATTTAGGGTGTCCCACCAAAAGTGGCGACCCCCTTTTATCTTTTAAACTAAAAGATAGATTGTAACAAATATATATCAAATTAAAAATGGTTCAAACTAAACTCTATTGTGAGCATGTGGTTGTTTCCAAAAGCTATCTGTTTTAACAAACGGAGAGGTATGCATAATTTTTTTTTTATAATAATGTAGATATTTCGATATAATAAAAGTTGTAGCGCTGTTTGAAATAAATACAACAATGTATAATATAATGTAAACATTTTACATATTATACGAGTTTTATCGACTTGAAATAACGTGGGCGACGTCTATCTTTTCACTTTCTGCCCTGCGATATGGCCAACTTCTGACTCGTGCATTAGAAATTGACATATGTCATGTTGTTATTTGATCATAATACTCAATCCAAAGTTAGCTACATCACAGGGCCGAAAATGAAAAGGTAGACATCGCTCGCGATATTTCAAGTTGGTAAAATTCGTATAATATGTAAAATATCTATTTTATATTATACATCGTATTCGTTTCAAACAGCGCTACAACTTTCTTTCATATCGAAATATTCATATTATTATAAAAAAATTGTGCATACCTCTCCGTTCGTTAACACAGATAGCTTTTGAAAGCAACCACTATGGTCTCAATAGAGTTTAGTTTGAACCATTTAATTTGATACATTTGTTACGCTCTATCTTTTTTAGTTTAAAAGATAAAAGCGGGTGATCACTTTTGGTGGGATACCTTGTATATATATATATTTCTTTTTAATTAATTTAAATTATTTAATAATTATATACATATAGCTTCGTAAAAAAAAGATTAATATAAAATAATAACAGCACTAAGCTCAGAGTACTAATGAAATTAGATAAGAAAATTGGTAAATAAGAGCCGACGTGCGGCAATTAGATCATAAACTTGTTTATTATTTAATTTCATTAACAAATATATATTAAATATATACGTTTTGGACCGTTTTTGGTTTATCTTCAGTATAGTATACAAAATTAAATTTGTGATTAAAATAAACATGCGCAATATTACACAGAAAACTCAACAAGCTACCGAATGCATATCCTGCGATATTTTGCTGACTACATACATTCCTTTAGCTGTTCTAATCTTTGTGGGATATCGCAGCACTTCGAACGGCATTCATATATGATAGATCTCAATCGCTGAGCGGCTACGGGCGCCAATTTTCAATCGTTATGATTTGGACCGCTCTGGAGACGTGCTGGGGATTTCGTCTCTCCGTGACAATCGGCACTGCATCCATTGAGCGAGATTCCAACATCGCTCTGGAGTCGTATGTACTGTGTTAGAGTGGCGTAAGGTGCGAGGTCTGAATAGCTCAGTGGTAAGAGCAGTTGCCCGGAAAGCGAAAGACTCGGGTTCGATTCCCGATTCAGCCACTTGTACCTCGCATATTTTTTCAGACCCGCAAATGTTGTTTTCTAACAATTATTTGTCGGGCTGAGGAAGTGTGTAAACGCCCTACACAGACACGACAGTGCCGCTGCCACGGAAGAGATGGATGCTTGGTTCGTGCCTCCTCCCGCCTTAAATCCCCCCCTCGCTTCACACATATATGAGTGATTCGTACATCTCCAAAACCCTTTAAAGTTTGTACAAATTAATCGATAACATCAAAACGTCACCGTCACATGTGTATCCGTCGATGATTAAAAATGTAAATCAATTTTTTCACCTAATGTTGTTATAAAATGTATCAACAAAAATAATGTACACACATACAATGTCGCAGGATAGTTCTCGAAAAATTAAATAATGAAAGTATTTGCGATTTGGGACTTCCGTTTCCGATGAGCTAGAGAGAGAGTGTGGACGAAAGTGTGATAGAAAAAAGAGAGAGGAGGAGAGGTAGCAAAGGAGAGAGAGAGAAAGAGTGGAAAATGAAAGGGAGAAGAGTGAAGTGAGGTGTGTGTGGTGGAGTAAAGGTGAAGATGACGGAGTGAAGAAACAGAAATAGGAAGGAGTGGAAAAGGTTGATGAGTTAGAGCTTAGGGAGATAGTGAGAGAGAGAGAGAGAAAGAGAGTTACGTGGTAGGTGACGGAAAGAAAGCTGGAAGCATAGAACAAGTAGAGCGGCGACTAAACGGGCAGGAACGGAGAGGGGAAAGAATTCGCGAGATTAGAGAGAGAGAGACGACTGGATAGGTAGGAATGAAGAGTAGGAAAGGAGTAATGGGAGTATATAGAGAGGCGACAAAACAAAAAAATAGATACTAAAGAAAGGAATCGCAGAGGAAAAAAAGGAGGGTAAAGAGGGAATGAGAGGAGCGGAGAGGAAAAGAAGCACAGGGAATATAGAAGAGACGTGGAAAAAGAAAAGGGAATTGATGGAAGGGTAGGAAAGGAGAAAAGTAAAAGAGAAGATGGGGATGTTAAAGAAAGTGAAAAGATAGACGTCGCCCACGTTATTTCAAGTTGATAAAACTCGTATAATATGTAAAATATTTACATTATATTATACATTGTTGTATTTATTTCAAACAGCGCTACAATTTTTATTATATCGAAATATGTACATTATTATAAAAAAATTATGCATACCTCTCCGTTTGTTAACACAGATAGCTTTTGGAAGCAACCACATGCTCACAATAGAGTTTAGTTTGAACCATTTTTAATTTGATATATATTTGTTAAAAATAAAGGGAGATGTGTGAGGGGCAAGAGAGAAGGAGAGTAGGGAATGGCGATAGTTAAGTTAAATAAAGTAGAGGGAAAGAAAGAGGTAATGAAAAAAAAGGAGAGGATTAAAGGATAAAGAGATAAGAATAGATGACGATCTGACATGGAAGGAAAGAAAGATGAGATGGAAGTTGAAGGAGGTAGCAAGGAGAGAGAAAGGGAAGGGGAAGAGAATATGGGTAGGTTATGGTAAAATACAAATAGAGGGGAAATGGTGGAGATGGGAAAAAGAAGATGAGAGACTGAGGGATAATGAGGGAAAGATAGAGTGAACAGGGAGAAGGACAAGAGATGACAGAGCAGGGAGAACGATAGAAAGGTGAAGGAGAGAAAGGGAAGAGCAGGAGGGGGTGTGGAAAGTGGCCTTCTGGAATGTAGTCGGAATACGAAATACGGATAGGGATTTTTGGCATAGGGTATAGTAGTATTGTCGGAAACATGGATAGAGGAGAGAGGGTGGGGAAAATTGAAAGAAAGACTGCCGAAGGAGTTCACTTGGAAGGCGCAGATGGCAAGAAAAAGAAATAAAAAGGGAAGAGCGAGGAGAGGGATGCTGATAGGGAATAAAAAGAATATGACGATAGAGGAAGAGAGGGAGGAAGAGGAGAGGAGAAAGAGGAGGAGGGAAGAATAGTATGTACAGTAAAAGTGGGAAGAGAGAATTGGAGGATAATGGGTATATATATAAATAGGGCTATATATTTGGATAGGAAACTGGAGGCATTAAAGGGATGGATGGAGGAAGGGGAAGAGGAAGTAAGGACGAGAATAGGGGGAGATTTTAATGCGAACACGGGAGAAGAAAGAGGGTGCAGAAGAGCAACAGAAGGTAGCAGAGAAAGGAAGAAAGTGAAAGGACAAGAAAATGGACGGAGAAGGAAGGAGATTGGTGGAATGTATAGAGAGAAGGGGATGGTCAATACTGAATGGAAGCGTGAAGGGAGACGAGGAGGGAGAATACATGTATACGGGAGGAAGGGAAGAAACAGCCATTGATTACGTTTTAGAGGACGGAAAGATAAGAGAGAAAGTGAAGAGACTAGAAATAAGAGAGAAGGTGAACTCAGATCATCAACCGGTGATTGTGTGGATAAAGGGAAGAGTGCGGGAAGGTGTTAGGTGACAGGGGGAAGTAAGGATAAGGAAAAGGGGGATTTGGGATAAAAAAGGAAGAG